TATAGAGTAACTTTGGGGAAGAAGGTTATACACTCACTTGGTTTATATTTCAAAATGCACAAAAGGAGAAAGAGTAATAATCTCACTGTCCCCTGTTCCCAGGTACGTGAATTTTCTCACTTGGAGGCAGTCAATCTTATATATATAACAGTTAATGAATGGGCAAGCAAAGTCTTTTCTCCTTTTTTATACAATTGGTATTGTACAAATGATATGTGCCCTATTCCACATTTTCTTTTTTTTCACTAAATAATATGTCCTGGAGAATTGCTTAGATTTTAAAAAGTCTCAGATTGTTACAGGCCTGACCACTCATCCTTGAAGGCACATGGTATGTAGTATAAACAACAAATCCTTTTTCCCATTTCATCACTTTTCCAAAATTAACAATAAAAAACATTGCCACACTCGTCTGCTGAAATGAAATTCAGGACTAGTCAATAAGGCACGTTGCTGCCTTCAGCTTAGAACTGAAGTAGAAACATGCCGTAGGTGACACTCCTCAGATGGTGTTCAAAAAGAGCCCAAATTACTTCTAATCCTACCTCAAAAAAAGAGGCAAACACTACAGTTTACTCAAAAATGTTTATGTCAAAGTTCAAGGAACTATAAGTACCCATGACGCCAAACCTTGAATAAACTGAAGGCGTAGGATTAGTAATAAAGCAACTGAATTGTCACTCAAAGATTTGATTCTAGTGTTTGTCTTTGTTTTGCTAAGTTGCTGCATTTTACTACTTTCTGGCATTGGAAACTTAACTAAAATAGGAACTGTATGAGAAATTGAGACGCTATCTGGTTTTTCTAACACAGAACTTTTCATTTGCTGGCCCGTTAATATTAACACATTGAGTCCTAAATGGTAGATGATTATAAATGGAAGTTAATTTTTAAGTTATTTTGATAGATGTCTTAGTTTGTGTGCTTTGCCCCTACTCTGACCTCATTTTAAATCTAATGGATATTAAAACAAACAAACCCACTGCTGCTGAGTCGATTCTGACTCATAGCAACCCTATAGGACAGAGTAGAACTGCCCCATAGGGTTTCCAAGGCTGAAATCTTTACAGAAGCAGACTGCTACATTTTTCTCCTGCAGAGCAGCTGGCGGGTTCGAACTGCCAACCTTTTGATTAGCAGCCAAGTGCTTAGACACTGTGCCACCGGGGCTCCTAACCAATATTAGCAGTTGATATTTTATAAACCCCCAATAAAAATTTATGATTTATAACAGCTGCAAGTTTATAATCTCTGCTTTAGAACTGTAGGTACCATTTTCTGCCACTGTTCTCTGGGCAGCAAACAGTAATCTAGGCTTTAGTTTGAGGGAAGGGAATAAAAAAAGCCAACTGTAATAATTGGATTCACAATGAACATTCATGGAAGCAGCAGTCAAGAAATAAACGACTAATTGCTTTGGGATGATCTGCTGCAAAAGACCCCTTTAAAGTGTTAAAAAGCAAAAATGTCACCTTGAGGACTAAGGTGCGCCTGACCCAAGCCATGATATTTTCAGTCGCCTCATATGCATGCAAAAGATGGACAATGAATAAGGAGGATAGAAGAAGAATTGATGCATTTGATTTATGTTGTTGGTGAAGAATATTGAACTATACCATGGACTGCCAGAAGAATGAACAAATTAGTCTTGCAAGAAGTACAGCCAGAATATTTCTTAAAAGTGAGAATGGCAAGACTTCATCTTATTTACTTTGGCCATGTTATCAGGAGGGACCAGACCCTGGAGAAGAACATCATACTTGGTAAAGTAAAAGGTTAATTAAAAAGAGGAAGACCCTCAGTAAGATGTATTGACACAGTGGCTGTGACAATGGGCTTAAGCATAACAATGATCATGAGTGTTTCATTCCATTGTACATAGGGTCGCTACGAGTCAGACACACTTGATGGCACCTAACAACAACAGCAACATGTCTGTGTCTCTATATTAAAGGAATGTAGAAAATAGGGCTATGTCATATTCATAACATTCAATTATCTTCTGGGGAATGAACAATAAAATACAGAACAACTGAGCTTTTTGAGTTCAACTAACTTACAAAAGAACACCATTCTTTTGTAAGAACCCTGTTAAGGCGTCACTTCCTTAGTGCCCTGCTTACAATTATAAGTTGGCATGATTTTCATTCTCAATAAATATAATATTGGTGGAAATTTGTTTGGTGTATAATCAGAATTGCAATGATAGTTATAATTGCTTAGTATTTATAAAAAGTATGGTATGGTTTTTACGAGTTTTTCCAATATTTAGTCTATCATATTGCTATCATTAAACATAAGTAATTGGAGGTATTGTAAAAATACATAAAATTAAGTGCCCTATGTTATGTATCGTGTGCCCTATGTCACTTTGAGGTCTAAGGTGCACCTGACCAAAGTCATGGTATTTTCAATCACCTCATATGCATGCGAAATCTGGGCAATGAATAGAGAACATGAAAGAAGAATTGATGCATTTGAATTATGGCATTGTAAAAGAATATTAGACATACCATGGACTGCCAGAAGAAGAAACAAATCTGTCTTGGAAGAAGTACAGCCAGTATGCTCCTTAGAAGCTAGGATTGCAAGACTTCGTCTCATGTACTTTGGACATGTTATCAGGAGGGACCAGTCCCTAGAGAAGGACATCATGCTTGGTAAAGTAGAAGAGCAGAGAAAAAGAGGAAGACCCTCAACAAGAAGGACTGACAGAGTGGCTACATTAATGGGCTCAAGTATAAGAACGATTGTGAGGATGGTGCAGGACCAGACAGTGTTTCCTTCTGTTGTACGTAGGGTTGCTATGAGTCAGAACTGACTCGACGGCACCTAAGAACAACAACACAACAAAGTAGAGGGTCAGTGAAAAAGAGGAAGACACTCTACAAGATGAGCTGACACAGTGGCTGCAACAGTGGGCTCAAACATAGCAACAATTATGGGAATGGTGCAGGTCCAGGCAGTTTTTCATTCTGTTGTACGCAGGGTCACCATGAGTCAGAACCAACTCTATAGCACCTAATAACATGTCGTACGTGGTAATCATACATGGTATAGCATTTTCATCATGACATTAATTCACCATTTAGTGTGTATGTTGTCATCACCCTTTGACACTAGCACTGTACAGAATTTCAACTCCAACTGGCAGCAAACTATTTTCCTTCAGTTCAGGCCAAACTATTTTAAAATATCATCTCAGTACACTTAGCTTATTGAGGAAATATTGACAGAAGGATTTGTTCTTATTTAGCAGGAAGAAAAATACAGGCATAAAGTCAGTTAATAAATAATTTTTATGTGGATAAGATTCAAGTTTCCTAAGTCACAATCTAGTATTCCACAAACTGATTAGTGCCTAAGATACATCAAAGAAGGAAAAGTGAAGTGTTTACCTCGCTGTTAGAGGCAGTAATGGAGTTCATTTATTTCAGAATGACGTGCTCAAGCCTTCAAAATTTGTGAGTCAGATTATGTATATGTGTTGCCAGATTGATTCAGCCCACTTTTTATGTTATGTGAATCTATTGATTCAAGTGAAGTGGTAATGAAATAAATTGAACTTAAGTGCTTTGGATAGTTGTGATAATAAAAATGAATTTCTTTTGCAGCAAATATTTTGTATTAAAAGGACAAGAGACAAAGCAATTCAATAAAAGAAATACCTAGAAAGGTTAATCTTTAAAAAGAAGAAACAATTACATTAAAGATTAAGGTCAACCATTAAAAAAAAAATTGCCCTATCAAAGATCCAGTGAGAAGTGGATAGTAAATCTAAGTTAATTGACATCTACAAACTAACTCTTATTTATTACCTCTCTTTTATAATTCCCTCTTTTTGTTACTAGCAGATCGTTTCCTCTTCATAACTTAGTGTTACCTAAATTATGCTTTACAAAAAATAAGGTCCATGGGATGCTCAGGTGGGGGATGTGGTCACAGAAGTTTAGGAAATATTACATACAATTAGTTTCCCATCTCTTGGAAATTCCTGATGTACTTTAACACTCTCAAGACTTTAATGAGTGACCAAGACACCTGTTTTTCTTTGTTTATCCCAACTTTTACAAAAAGAGTTTGATCATGAATTTTTTTTCATGTAACATTTTAACATTCTAGGTACCCTGCTTTAGAAGAACAGGAATAAATAACAGTGATGAGAATAGATTGAGGAATGAGGGGATATGGCCAAGACGGATTTTATGGATAACTTAGAATTTTCACAGAATTACTGATATTTAAATGCTTTGCTTATTTTCCAATTTGAACAAACCCAATTGAAAAAAAAAATGCTTTGTGTCCTTTTGAATTGTGTAGTCTGTCAAAATTATTAGATTTGTTTGCATTGTTTTTCCATTGAACACGTACAATGTCATTAAGAAGCCATGGAAAACATGCATTTGAGCTATTTTACCAGATTATTATTATTTTTATTCATAGAAGTTGCTTTCCTTGGAGTGAGATATTTCACTTGGAAAGATGTTTCATTGCTCAGGAATCACTCGGATTCCAAATTTTTCTCTTTTCTCCAATGTTTTGAAGAGTTGCTATTGTCCCACTTAATAGTGATCATGAAAAAATGTTAATATTAGAAGTCCATAGCAGTCTTATTTCTCATTTAGTCTGCTCCACAAAAAAAAATATATATATATATATATTTAATTTCTTGACAAATAAAAGACTCTTTATGTTACTAATTTGAATATGACACATTGGGTCATATTCAGTACTTAGTGGGTCCTTTATCTTTCAGAACCGGAGAAATGAATACTTGCAATTTGAAAAGGCTTTGGGATACTGTCATAGAGGAAACAGCCTCTCTGGTGCCTGTGCTTTTGGTTTGTTTTATTTATGAGAGAACATGAGAATATTTTCAAGCTGAGATTTGTTGAGAACCCAATTTTATTACCATTGCTGTGTTAAATGTGTAGATACTGAACTCTCAATGAAATATGAGACATTCTACCCAGTGACATTTTAAATGCATCTCATTGTAGGGGAAGCCTGTGGGAACACCAGATGCTGGTGCTTATTTCCGTGTGCTGGCGGAGTATGGAGTGGCTGCCTTGTTTACAGCGCCGACTGCAATTAGAGCAATCCGTCAACAGGACCCTGGGGCAGCCTTGGGGAAGCAGTACACTCTGACAAGGTGAACTTGGGATGCACAGGGCAAATTACATTAAAAACTTCAATCAAAGTGAATCACTGAATGTTATATTTTTTCCATTACAGGAATATCTGTATGGAAAGAACCAAAAGATTCTGAGTATTATTAAGACTGATTGTTATAAATATATATCTTTGAAATAGTTGGAATTTTAAATATACTAAGAATTTTCTTTATATCAAGTTTATTTCAGTTTAAAAAATGCCAAAATATTTTTTTAATGATTCTGCTTATATTTTTCTTAAAGTAAAATGCTGACTACAACTTAAAACATATATACATATATATAGTAGCATCGGTCTTTTGAAAATAGAAGAAGGGCTTAAATGGAGGAAAAGCATTATTTCATTTAAAGTAAACAGATAAAGCTTAAAAATAATAGTCCAAATTACATTTGTTGAAAGAATGAAGGAAACTATTTTTTTGTTTGTTTTGTAATAATATGTTCCGAATGGTTTAGATATTTTTGTTGTGGTTTATTGACATCCATTTTAGCTTAATGATATGTATAGTCAAACATAATTATAGCAATTTGTATCTTCAAGGCAGTTTCCAAGTGTCAGTTCTCAATGAACTTCTTTAAAATAGGTCACTGTTATCATAAACAAAAATGAGAAATTTTGTGATTTCTAAAAGTCAAAAAGTGGGTTTGAATTAAGTCAGAATGCTCGAGTATTTGAATTTTATGTTTTTATGACCCAAAGAAAGAGCTAAAGTAAATAATATACACTAAATTGCAGCTGTAAGCAAGAAGCTTTCAATTTGGGCAGGGTCAGTATTTTTGTTTGTGTCCTTGTTTTTCCTTTTATTCGTTTTAAGAAAAAAGTAGACGTAGATTTACTAAAATTTTATTTATAATCTAAAGACTGCCCTCTTATTAAAATAAAAGGTTGTTCATAAAATGAGTCTTCCATTATAATTATTTCTGTCCATCTTCTATTTGTTCCGCCACTTACTACATTTCCATTATTTCAGCCCAAAGGATAAAAACTAAATTTGAGTAAAAACTTATTAGGATGTGAACAATCTCTGTGCTTTCAGACAATTCCAAGGTTTTTGAAGAAACAGTGATTATAGTTCTTTGCAGTGTCGCTTTACTGATATATGCACCGTGATTGCAGGGCGTGAAGTTGTGTGACCAGAAAGCTAAGGCCTTGCTTTTGCTGCATCATTTTCTTTTCCCATTTGTACACGGGTTTTAATGTTATCCTCCTCTGTGAAAGCAGAAACTATTTCTTGTTTGCCTAGTGTATAAAGTATCAAACAATACTGATTGCCTACTAAATCATCATTCTGCAAACAACTGTACATAGACATGAAGTATGAAATTTTAGTGTGAGAGAAATTGCAGGAAGTTCTTCCTGATCATGACACTCTGTCTCTAGGCATCATGAATAAAAAAGTTATTCCTGATGATGTGCATATCTGTTTCTTTTAGATATTTAAGAATACAGACTCTACAAATATCTTCAACCTAATCAAATTATTACAATTAAAAAATGCAAACACTTACTGATCATCTACTATGTGCCATGCACTGTTCTCAAAAATTTAAGTTTATTATATAGATTAGTCATCACAACAATCTGTAAGGTAGGAATTGTGATTATTCTTATTTTATAAAATAGTAAAGTTAGGATCAATTTAAGTAACTTTCAAAATAAGCTAACTCAGACAATCTGAATAGGGTTCATCACAGGTGTTCTTTTCCTGTAATAGGTAAATTAGGAAACTAAGTCTGGACCCAAGGATTTTGTCATTTATGGAGTAAAAGCAGCTTTTGCTGTTCATGTTTTTTGTTGATTCAAATAATACCTTCAATGAACTATTTTAATAGAATTTACCTTTTGATAAATTCATCTAAGATAATTACAGGAGCAAAAGTGACCTCAAAAATCAAGACTTCAAAAATCAAACTGTTTTATAAACAAGGAAACTAAAGCCAAAAACCAACCCAGTTGCCATCGAGTCAATTCAGACTCATAGTGACCCAATAGGACAGAGTAGAACTGCACTGTAGGGTTTCCAAGGGGTGGCTGGTGGATTCGAACTGCTGATCTTTTGATTAGCAACCGAACTCTTTTTTTTTTTTTTTAATTGTACTTTTGTACTTTAGATGAAGGTTTACGGAACAACTAGTTTCTCATTAAACAATCATATACCTCTTGTTTTATAACATTGGTTAACAACCCCATGACATGTCGATGCTCCCCTTCTCATCCTTGGAGGACCTTTTTATCTTTTTGGTGAAAATATACATAGCCAAAAATACACCATTCAAAAATTTCTACAAGTACAATTCAGTGACATTGGTTACATTCTTCCAGATGTGCTGCTATTCTCACTATCCTTTTCCAAATTATTCCATCACCATTATCTTCACTGCCCACTAGACTTCCCATCAAACTTTTGAGTTGCTGATGTCAACTAGATCTCACAAAGATAATTTTTTCTTTGTACTTTAGATGAAGGTTTACAGAAAAAATAGTTTCTCATTAAACAGTACACATATTGCCCTATGACAATGGTTAACAACCCCATGACATGTCAACACTGTCCCTTCTCAACCTTGAGTTCCCTATCACCAGCTTTTCTGTCCACTCCTGCCTTCCAGTCCTTGTCCCTGGACTGCTGTGCGTCATTAGTCCCGTTTTGTTTTATGGGGCTGTCCAATCCCCAGCTGAACGGTGAACCTTGGGAGTGACTTCCCCCATGAGCTAAAAGGGTGTCTGGGGGCCATACTCTCAGGATTTCACCAGTCTCTGTCAGGCCCGGAAATCTGGTCTATTTTTGTGTTAGAATTTTGTTCTACATCCTTCTCCAGCTCTGTCCAGGACCCTCAGTTGTGATCCTGGTCAGAGCAGTCATTGGTGGTAGCCAGGCACCATCTAGCTGTACTAGACTCAGTCTGGTGGAGGCCGTGGTAGCTGTGGTACATTAATCCTTCGGACTGATCTTCTCCTTATATCCTGTTCTCTTCATTCTCCTTTGCTCCCAAAGGGATGAGACCAGTGAAGTATCTTCGATGGCTGCTCACAGGCTTTTAAGACCCCAGATGTTACTCACCAAGGTAGAATGTAGAACATTTTCTTTATAAACTGTATTATGCCAATTGAGCTAGATGTTCCCCGAGACCATGGTCCCCACAGCCCTCCTCCCAGCAATTCAGTCCCTCAGGGAGTTTGGATGTGTCTGTGGAGCTTCCATGACCATTCCTTGTACAAGTTGTGCTGGCTTGACCGGTATTAGGTACTGTCTTACTCGTTACCAAAGTTACCACTTAACTACAGTCTATTTAGTTCCCCCCCACCCCTCCCATCCCTCATAACCAACAAGCTTACTTCTTTTTGTGTGTAAACTTTTTCATGAGTTTTTACAGTAGTGGTCTCATACAATATTTGTCCTTTGGTGATTGACTTATTTCACTCAGCATAATGTCCTCCATTTTCATCCATGTTATGAGATGCTTCACAGGTTCATCATTGTTCTTTATCGTTGCATAACACTGCATTTTGTGTATGTACCATAGTTTGTTTATCCATTCATCTGTTGATGGGCATCTAGGTTGTTTCCATCTTTTTGCTATTGTGAACAATGCTGCAATGAAC